ATATGGACAGATAGTGGACAAATATGGACAGATAGTGGACAAATATGGACAGATAGTGGACAGATATGAACAGATAGTGGACAAATATGGACAGATATGGACAAATAGCGGACAGATAGTGGACAGATATGGACAGATAGTGGACAGATATGGACAGATAGTGGACAAATATGGATAGATATGGACAAATAGCGGACAGATATGGACAGATAGTGGACAGATATGGACAGATAGTGGACAGGTAGGGGACAGATATGAACAGATAGTGGACAAATATGGACAGATATGGACAGATAGTGGACAGATATGGACAAATAGGGACAGATAGTGGACAGATATGGACAGATAGTGGACAGACAGTGGACAAATATGGACAGATAGTGTACAAATATGGACAGATAGTGGACAGATATGGACAGATAGTGGACAGATATGAACAGATAGTGGACAAATATGGACAGATATGGACAGATAGAGGACAGATATGGACAAATAGGGACAGATAGTGGACAAATATGGACATTGGCTGATACTTTTACTTACTTAAATCTGATTGGTTGAATTCTGACTGTTTTATAGTATTACTAGCAATTTAGATCTAGAATTTCATATGCTGCGAGATACGCTTTTACGGATGAACGTTCCGGTAAATCAATCCCCTTTTTTAGTACACGTTCGCAGTCAGTTACGCAAAAATTTCTACTAAGGAATCGTCGCTCTGAAGACGAATGTTTTACTAATGTTTCGCCTGTAAATTGTAAGTATATTGACCAGCTGTAAGTTATATGTTCTCTGCATTGCGTAGATTCACGTTGTTCATTGTCTTCAGCTTCGGTGCCGGTATTACAACCCCCAGGCACGACGCTAGTAAAACAATCCATAACTCTCTGTCCTTACAATCGTGCGTCAGACAGAATAGAGAAGCAGATATTACGACCAGTACCGCTGTTATTTGACACACAAAAGTTATGACTGATGTGTAGATTTTTTTCCCCAGTAAATCGGAACTCATAACGTTAGTGAAATACATGTGTTTATATACCCTTAAAGGTTGTATTTTGAGACTAAAAGTCGATGTGGGGGTGGGTTGCTACGGAAGTCCGCCATCTTGGATCCAAGATGGTTGCTAGCCTTAGCAACCATATCCAAGATGGCTTGGGCTTTTAACGGTCGTCTCAAGCTTTTTCCCTCGACTTTTGGATAATTTGTCACATACATGTATCAACTCTGATCGTCTTGCACGTCAACATATCTGATATCTGACGATTTTTGGGCTCGAAAACTAATTCAACAGAGACTGCCCCAGGTGTTGTAAATGTACTTACTTTTTCATGTAAAAATCAGTCTTTGGTAACTCCATGTCGGTCTCTTGACGTAATCATCAGCGATTGTACAGTAGTACGTGCTTGTACTTTCAGTCCGACAACAAATTATTTTCAAATATAAATCTAGCAAAGAGATATGGCGGGTTGCTATGCCTATTTCCCTAAAGCTATGTTACGCTAGTGCGCGCATCCAACCGTGCACTATTATGACGCGTCCTCAGGTATTTTTATACAGGTAACAATATCGGAATCCCGTGTCTTAGATTATTGTAAACAGACCACATATTTGGTATTTCGGCATTATTTGTTGGTGTTTAAGCACTTGATATAATTACTATTGCCAGTTTAAGGGTAGAACAATTCATAAATTTCATCAAAAATAGTGTCTTACATACAAAGCGTAGCTGTACTGTACACGTGTACAGGAATTTGTTGACATGCTTCGAGAGAAGTATGTCGCACTAAATAGTAAAGAAATTATTACTAACAAAACTGATAAATCAATATGTATGTTATTAAAATGTAAACAATGTCTGCTATGTAACCACGGCGCAAAAACACTAGCATCATTAACACAGGGGCTTGTGTCGTCTGCTATGTAACCACGGCGCAACAACACTAGTCTCAGGAACACAGGGGCTTGTGTCGTCTGCTATGTAACCACGGCGAAAAATATAGAACGATACAGCTAATGTGCACCTAGCTGCGATGGCATAGCTCCTTACGACCTGACGATTTTTTATGTATATTGCGTAGCCAGGTTTTAATATTAGTATTATGTATGAACCAACCATAAACAAAGAAGCAGCACTGAGAAAATGAATCACAAAAAAAGTTCCTGTCGAACGGACAAGACTGAAAACCAGCGTAACCAGGGACATCACGGTAAGTGATATGTATATAAAGAAATATGTCGGTGAAATATTTTTTGTGTTTTCAGATTCTTTCTTTAGTTTTCAAAAGACAAAGAAGGCGATGCATTTTTTTAATTTTTTTTTGACATTTGGATGCTAATTGTCGGAAAGATGAATATTTCGAGTTAAGCACCCCTCCTTCACCCTTTCGCGGTCAGTCACCACTACAAGAAACCAAACAATAAGATGGTCAGGTGGATTAGTAGATAGCGCCCTCACCTTTCACGAAGTAAACTGGTATACATGTCTTATTTTTATGGTTTAATTCACATGCTGGTTCCAACTTGCAGATGATGAACTTTATACAATTGTTATTTTTTACTACATTTCTTCGATATCTATTGTTAGCTCACCTGGTCCGAAGGACCAAGGTAAGCTTATGCCATACCGTGGCGTCCGTCGTCCATCCGTCCGTCCGTCCGTCGTCCGTCCGTCAACAATTTCTTTAAACGACTTCTTCTTCTTAACCACTTATTGGAATTCAACTAAATTTGACTGGAAGCATCCCTAGGTGGTGGGGATTCAAAATTGTACAAATGGTGGGGCTGAACCTCAAGGGGGCTGAGGGGCGGGGCCAAAAGGGGTCAATTTGGCTATATTGCTTTAAGCGACTTCTCTGGAACTAAGAAGTGGATATCAACCATATTTGACTGGAAGCATCCCTAGGTGGTGGGGATTCAAAATTGTACAAATGATTGGACTGACCCCCCAGGGGGCTGAGGGGTGGGGCAAAAAGGGGGCAATTTGGCTATATTGCTACCAACGACTTCTTCTGTAGAACTGTGCCATGGATATCAACCATATTTGACTGGAAGCATCCCTAGGTGGTGGGGATTCAAAATTGTACAAATGGTTGGGCTGACCCCCCAGGGGGCTGAGGGGCGGGGCCAAAAGGAGTCAATTTGGCTATATTGCTTTAAGCGACTTCTTCTCTGGAAATAAGAAGTCGATGTCAACCATATTTAATTGGAAGCATCCCTAGGTGTCAGGGATTCAAAATTGTACAAATGATGGAGCTGACCCCCCAGGGGGCTGAGAGGCGGGGCAAAAAGGGGTCAATTTTGCAATATTGCTATAAGCGACTTCTTCTCTGGAACTAAGAGGTGGATATCAACCATATTTGACTGGAAGCATCCCTAGGTGGTGGGGATTCATACAAATGGTGGGGCTGAGGGCGGGGCCAAAAAGGGGGCAATTTGGCTATATTGCTATAAACGACTTCTACTGTAGAACTATGCCATGGATATCAATCATATTTGGTCGGAAGCATTCATGGGAGGCAGGGATTCAAAATTATACAAATGGTGGGGCTGACCCCCCGGGCTAAGGGGTGGGGCCAAAAAAAGTGTATTACTTGGAAATGGTTGAGATCCCCACCATATAACCATGGTATACAATTGCTGAGTATAAAGAGAAGAATGCACATTTGCTTCCAGGATGGCTTTAGGGTCTGGCCCCACCCTTGGAGACATAGTGCTAAGGCCATAACTTTAAAACTGTTGAGATCCCCACCCCAAAACTATATATATAAATGCTGGGCATAAAAAGACGAATGCAGTCATGAAATCAGAATAGACCCTGGGGTCTGACCGAACCCCTAGTGACCTAGTTTGTTAGTCACAGCTTGGAAACAGTTGAGAGCCCCACCCTATAACGGTGCATACAATTGCTGAGTATAAAGAGATGATTGCACATATGCTTCCAGGATGGCCTTGGGGACTGCCCCACCCTTGGAGACTTAACCCCTGGGTCATAACTTCGAAATGGTTTAGATCCCCACCCCAAAACTATATATACAATTGTTGGGCATAAAAAGACGAATGCAGCAATGATATTAGAATTGACCCCAGGGTCTGCCCCACCCTTCCAGACTTAACCCCTGGGTTATAACTTTGAAATGGTTGAGATACCCACCCCAAAACTATATATACAAATGCTGGGCAAAAAGAGACAAATGCAGTCACGATATTAGGATTGATCCTGGGGTCTGGCCACAACGCTAGGGACCTAGTTTCTGAGTGAAAGCTTGGAAACAGTTGAGATCCCCACCCCATAACCATACATAAAATTGCTGGGCATGAAGGGTATAATACATGTACGGATATGCTACAAGGATTGGCCTATTCCCTTGATCTCATTCGGAGAATATTTTGCCATGATTGCTTTGGTATCCAGGTGAGCGATACAGGCCCTCTGGGCCTCTTGTTAAAAGTTGCATATTTTACCACGAATATTTTTTTATTCCTCCATATCAACAACAACGTTTTGAAAATATTTAAGCCATTTTATCCTAAATACAAATCAAACTGTAATGGGTCGGGTATATTTAATTTGAAGTTATAATTGAAACGAAATAATCCTACATTTTGCTGTACAGTAAAGAAATGCATATTCTATGTCTTGTTTCAGAATTTATATAGAAATATCGGGCGAATAGCAGACTTTCTGGAAGTCGACTATGAGGATACGTTTCTGAGAAAAGTGGAAACTGCAGTGTCATTGAAAACCTAAAGCAGCTTTCCACTACCGAAGGGGATGGTGATGTACTTTTGACAAGCATTAATGCTAATGAAAGGTTGCCAATATATAGGAAAGGTAAACTCTTTTCTATTTTATGTGTAAAAAAGAAAATAATACTGGTATATATACCTCAGTATCAACATGAAAGGACAAATAAGCACAAGTGGATAAACATTCTCTTCTAATGAAGCCCCTGTCATAATTACTGTTGTCAAAGATATATCTAGTAGATAATAAAGAAATAAGTTCTTGCGAAGGCAAATATACACTCAAACAACAAGTACACAAGACTGATCGCTGGGCCTTTCTACCTTCTTACAATTTTTCAGGCGGACGGATGTTTATAATTTACCATTAATAACAAGTCGGTCGTTTATTATCGTATTTTCTATACTTATCCACTTTACATGGACATACCTTTTGATTTATATATATTTATTTCTGATACAACTTTCATGGTTATCAGATCTTTTGAATACCACCTGCCTAATCCAACAACGCATATATTTGATAGTATAAATTATTTTCACATTCGAAAAATTACAAGAATGGGGAAACCCCAGCGGGGACTATTTATGTCGGTTTCAGTCACGGATTTTGACATCTGTTGCCTTTCGCGGTGAATGCTTTCGTGTGTTTGCTTCTGTCGGAATATACCAGGCGTTAATTACAAGCTCTTGGAAAACTCAGATATCGATTTCCTTTTTAAACAGGAATAGCATAAAACCTAAAGGCGTTCCAAATTTTACACAGGAATTGCATATAACCTAAAGATGTTCCAAGTATGAATCAGGCACCTTTGAGGTTCCCAAAGGGGTAGACTGATATATTATAAATTCCTATTGATTGATTTAGATATTTTATTTCTGACCAACGACTACCGTTAATATTCGCGTATAGTGCGCACTTTGGTTTTTTAAGGAAAAATGAAGTGTCAAGAAAGGGGTGAACACGACACTCAAGAACAATCCAAAACCAGTCCTTGGTCGCGACCATTTAGCGTAAATTTTTCGATGAGTTTCGGAATTTTGAAATATGCTCGCAGCAAGAAGCTGCTAAATTTTGTTGAATAACCCCTGATTGCATTGCCAATTTAACTATTACGAAAAGTTGAAAGTTTAAGTCATATACGATAGAATCGGATAAGTAAACTCGAGTAAAGTAGGCCCAACTTTTCAGGACATTACGTTGTGAATTGATAAATACCACGTATGGGGAAACATAACGAAGAATTGCATCGTAATTAGCACTCTGTGGTTAAAATTTCGTTCATGGGTAAAATCATGCTGAACTCTTCAATCTTGACAGTAGAAATGTGTCAAAACGACACAGTTCGCAAGTTTGTGTACCGAAAAGAGTCAAGGTCGCGTGATACTATAAACCGGCAGGAATTCACAACGCGACATCCATGCCGATAATGGTAAAAGTTCGAGTTTGAAAAATATTATTAATTCCATGTGTTGGAATGGCTACCTGAACAGCGTGTATGTATTTACACCTGTTCATTGTTTACCATTTTGATTGACAGGTGGAAATGTATCAGCTGTAGCTTGGTCAATGATTTATCTGAAAATGATCATGCAGGAGATGCGGTGACTTTTATGTCATTTTGACATATTTCTAGTTGGGTTTATTTTTGTCATTTAAAATGGAGCAAATTGACATACCTTATGTTGTTCATCGATATCCTTTTGGCAATACAACTGTGATAATTCTTATTTGGTGGCATTCCTTTATAAAAAAAACATTGAAAATCTCACCAATATCAATCAAATTAATTGTTGAGAAATAATGAAATCATTCTTAATGCATCAAGGTAATAAGAGAGATCAGTCACGCATGTCGCACATAGGAATTTTCTTGGACAATACAGTTTTACTTGGACTTAAAATTGAAAATTGCCGAGCATATCATACTTAAGTATGAGCGCTAAAGTCCGATTCATGTATGAATTCACCGACTTTATAAATTCACGTCAAATTATTTGTAATTATTTCCAATCACGGACGCAAACTCTAAGATATTAACGTTATGATAGGAATGATAATTACGCCAATGGAAACGGCTTCAACCACCTACTAATGTCATCAAAGAATAATATTGTTACCGTCTATGGGAAATGTAGTTCATTTAGTCAAAATATTATTTCATACTGAGAATATTCTTTTTGCGTCAAATGCTAAAGCATACTTATTTTTTAAGATTTTTTTTCAATTCAGGAATGATCGGCGATTGGAAGAACCTTTTCACAGTGGCGCAGAGTGAAAGTTTTGATGAAGTTTATCAAGAAAAAATGAGTGACGAGGGATTTGATCTCCAATTTATCTACGAGTAAAAAGACTTACTACTCTGAACATTGGTATTAGATAGTACATATCAAGATTTTCTGTTATGAACGACATGTCAGCTATAATCAGTAAAGATGAAAGCACTCTACTCTTCCAAACTTATTGACCAATTTACATGCGCAACATATCTACTACAGTTGATTTTAAGATATCGAGTTTCAGAGATGTTCTTTTTATAAATAGGATAACATAAACACAATTTTCCAAGATGTGTAAAAATCTATTGTCAATGATATTGAATTACTGGTAAAGGTGAATGAGGGTTTCTCTAAATTATATGATTTGAAAATAAATGTTTTGAGTGGTCTCTGAGCCTTCATATATCTGCAGCATGTAAAGAAGGAATTAAAACAGTTTTCCTTGGAGTATACATTCATTTAGAGTACAATGTTTGTGACAAAGCCTGGTTGTTTAAATATTAAATTTAGCATTTGCCGTAACCCATCTAAATTTGATACTATTAACGTTCCATATATGTCTCTCCTTCGGCAGATGACACAAAGGCGGGACAAAGACATCGTTATCTGGCGGCGGCAGCATCAACGTTTATTTTTGGAGTGAAGCTTTGTATTTTCAAAGGTGAGAGTATTTTCAAAGGTGAGATATGATCGCGATTTGATCAGTGTCATTTTGAAGTAAAATAAATCCAATCACATATATTGCACAAAATTAAATCACTGCGAAGTTACTGCTGATCGGGACTTCCGCGGAGTATTAGCCCTGAGAAAATCAACAATTATACCGTATCTAAGACACTAGCTTGTGTAAAGGTCAAATATCAATGCGGCTTTTCGTGGAATATTTCCACAGCGATGTATTCATCCGCGTCAACGCAAGTTAAACACTCGCACAAAAAAAGTCTGTTTTGTCGTTATATGTGTTGTTTTGTTTTTGTTAGATTCCTGATGTTGGAGATAAAATATTATCCTTACTGTGAAAACGTTTTAATCTTTGTCAGGACGAACTACATTGTTTACGCGGAAGCATTCAAACGTCAGTAGTGAAGAGGCCATATTTATTTAAGGCCTCGGGTGGGATAAGAACTCTTTATTCAATTGGTGTTAAAAGGTTGTGTAACAGGCTGGTAAGCACTTGTTGTCCATCTTATGCATTACGCTAGACTCGACTATATTTCAACCATAGCGAAATTCAACAGTTTTGTATGTCTAAATGGAGTTCTCTGTAGGAACCCCGGTAAATATATTGCACTAGATAAGGATATCATTAAAATATAGTTTACCTGAACGAACATTAGTTGGTACAATGTAGGTATATCTGTAAACTCAGGGAATAAAGTATGAACATACACATAGACTTGTATATTACTATTAAACATTTTATTAACATTTATGAATAGGGTATGAATATTTATAAAACTTTGGTAATTTAGGTTGAATCTCATTTATATTTGTACTATCTTATTAATACAAATTGTAATAAAGATGCATGGTTTGCATAATGATGACTTTGTAGATGTATTACGACAAGCAAGCAGTCAACATATGATACAAGGTTACGACAAAAACAATTGATAGAGGTAGAATGTGAATACCATTCAACAAACGATACTTTGATTTAAACATCAATCAACATTTATTAATAGAATAATGTTAGTAGTAAAAACTTTAAACGTTCACAGTAGTAAAGGTTCACAGCCTCAACTGTGTAAATAATTCTGTTATGAATCTACGTAATATTTCTCACATCGTTTTAGTTTCAATAGTCATCACAGGGTATTTTTAGTTCAATCTAGGATAAAGAGAAACAAGAGAATTATAATCATAAATTGATCACGTGATGTAACAATAGATTAATCTACATACATACACTTTTAATAAAGTAAATTATAAGCATGCAATATTGAAAATCCTCATGGTAAACCATCACATGGAAACTAAAGCAAAATCAAACGATGAATATCAGGCTTCGCAAGGTAAAAAAATATCGTGTAGGTTCTATGTAGTGCATGCACTTCAGTTCTTTCTGAGGTATGTAGAAGTTGCTGGTAATGGAAGGACTTATAAGAAGGAAAAGAAAAAGTTTGTAAATAACGAAAGTATCTGAAGTCAACCCATTGCAGACTCAACAACCGTTCAAATTACGGTCCAGTCATGGGAAATTGTCTACAAAGTAAGCTATATCCTTGAAATTATTCTAGGGGAAACGCTCACTCTCATTCTCTGTAACCCTGGAATATAGTATGCCAAACATCGTTTAATAGGCAAATTCAAAATGAAGCACATAATTCTTCGCCATATCTACATATGTGTTGTAATTCATGTAGTCAATTTTACAACTGATCGAAAGTGTTGATTTCTATTTTGAAGAATGAAATAGCCGGTTTTTTACCTCACCTGGCACGAAGTGCCAAGTGATCTTATGCCTTGGCGCGCCGTCCGGCGTCCGGCGTTAATATTTTACTTTAAACGCCTTCTTCTTAATAAGCGAAAGGCCTAGGGTGTCAATATTTGGCCAGAAGCAAACTGGGATAAAGGGCTACAAAGTTTGTTAAAATTAATGACCTTCACCCATTTTCAAGGTCACAGGGGTCAAATATGTAAAAAAAAAAAATAAACATCTTCTTCTCAATAACCTAATTGCCCAGGGAGATAATATTTGGCCAGTAGCATGCTTGGTTGAAGGGCTACCACGTTTGTTCAAATGAATGACCTTCAATTATATTCAAAGTCACAGGGTCAATTGTCTGAAAAAACCTTAAGCAACTTCTTCTGAATAACGAAACGCCCAGGGTGAAGATATTTGGCCAGTAGCATGCTTGTCACAGGGGTCAAATATGTTTAAAACTTTAAACAACTTCTTCTCAATAACCAGAATGCCCTGGGTGATGATATTTGGCCAGTAGCATGCTGAGATGAAGGGCTACAAAATGTATTCAAATGAGTGAACTTTTATATTTATATTCAAGGTCACAGGGGTCAAATAGGTTGAAAATTTTATACAACTTCTTCTGAATAACGAAATGCCCAGGGTGAAGATATTTGGCCAGTAGCATGCTGGGGTAAAGGGCTATCAAGTTTGTTCAAATAAATGACCTTCACCCATATTTAAGGTCACAGGGGTCAAATATGTTTAAAACTTTAAACAACTTCTTCTGAATAACCAAAATGCACAGAGTGATGATTTTTGCCAGTAGCATGCTGAGATGAAGGGCTACAAAGTGTATTCAAATGAATGAACTTCTATATCTATATTCAAGGTCACAGGGGTCAAATAGGTTGAAAATTTTATACAACGTCTTCTGAATAACGAAATGCCCAGGGTGAAGATATTTGGCCAGTAACATGCTGGGGTCAAGGGCTATCAAGTTTGTTCAAATAAATGACCTTCACCCATATTCAAGGTCACGGGGTCAAATATGTTAAAAACTTTAAACAACTTCTTCTGAATAACCAAAATGCACAGGGTGATGATATTTGGCCAGTAGCATGCTGAGATGAAGGGCTGCAGAGTTTGTTCAAATGAGTGACCTTCACCCATATTCAGGTCACAGGGGTTAAATATGTGGAAACTTTAAACAACTTCTTCTGAATAACCAAAATGCCCAGAGTGATGATTTTGGCCAGTAGCATGCTGAGATGAAGGGCTGCAGAGTTTGTTCAAATGAGTGACCTTCACCCATATTCAGGTCACAGGGGTTAAATATGTTGAAACTTTAAACAACTTCTTCTGAATAACCAAAATGTCCAGTGTGAAGATATTTTGCCAGTAGCATGCTGGGGTAAAGGGCTATCAAGTTTGTTCCAATAAATGACCTTCACCCATATTTAAGGTCACAGGGGACAAATATGTTTAAAACTTTAAACAACTTCTTCTGAATAAACAAAATGCACAGAGTGATGATTTTTGCCAGTAGCATGCTGAGATGAAGGGCTGCAGAGTTTGTTCAAATGAGTGACCTTCACCCATATTCAGGTCACAGGGGTTAAATATGTGGAAACTTTAAACAACTTCTTCTGAATAACCAAAATGTCCAGGGTGAAGATATTTTGCCATTAGCATGCTGAGATGAAGGGCTATCAATGAAGATATTTTGCCAGTAGCATGCTGAGATGAAGGGCTATCAATGAAGATATTTTGCCAGTAGCATGCTGAGATGAAGGGCTATCAAGTTTGTTAAAATGAATGACTTCCAATTATATTCAACGTCACGGGGTCAATTGTCTGAAAAAACCTTAAGCAACTTCTTCTGAATAACCAAAATATCCACGGTGATGATATTTGGCCAGTAGCATGCTGGGGTAAAGGGCTATCAAGTTTGTTCAAATAAATGAGCTTCACCCATATTTAAGGTCACAGGGGTCAAATATGTTTAAAACTTTAAACCACTTCTTCTAAATAACCAAAATGCCCAGGGTGAAGATATTTGGCCAGTAACATGCTGGGGTAAAGGGCTATCAAGTTTGTTCCAATAAATGACCTTCACCCATATTTAAGGTCACAGGGGACAAATATGTTTAAAACTTTAAACAACTTCTTCTGAATAACCAAAATGCACAGAGTGATGATTTTTGCCAGTAGCATGCTGAGATGAAGGGCTGCAGAGTTTGTTCAAATGAGTGACCTTCACCCATATTCAGGTCACAGGGGTTAAATATGTTGAAACTTTAAACAACTTCTTCTGAATAAACAAAATGCACAGAGTGATGATTTTTGCCAGTAGCATGCTGAGATGAAGGGCTATCAATGAAGATATTTTGCCAGTAGCATGCTGGGGTAAAGGGCTATCAAGTTTGTTCAAATTAATGACCTTCACCCATATTCAAGGTCACGGGGTCAAATATGTTAAAAACTTTAAACAACTTCTTCTGAATAAACAAAATGTCCAGGGTGAAGATATTTTGCCAGTAGCACGCTGAGATGAAGGGCTATCAAGTTTGTTAAAGTGAATGACTTTCAATTATATTCAGCGTCACGGGGTCAATTGTCTGAAAAAACCTTAAGCAACTTCTTCTGAATAACCAAAATATCCACGGTGATGATATTTGGCCAGTAGCATGCTTGGGTGAAGGGCTACCAAGTTTGTTAAAATGAATGACCTTCAATTTCAAGGTCACGGGGTCAAATGTCTGAAAAAACTTAATCAACTTCTTCTGAATCACCAAAATGTCCAGGGTGATGCTATTTGGCCAGTAGCATGCTGAGATGAAGGGCTATCAATGAAGATATTTTGCCAGTAGCATGCTGGGGTAAAGGGCTATCAAGTTTGTTCAAATAAATGAGCTTCACCCATATTTAAGGTCACAGGGGACAAATATGTTTAAAACTTTAAACAACTTCTTCTGAATAACCAAAATGTCCAGGGTGAAGATATTTTGCCAGTAGCATGCTGAGATGAAGGGCTATCAAGTTTGTTAAAATGAATGACTTTCAATTATATTCAACGTCACGGGGTCAATTGTCTGAAAAAACCTTAAGCAACTTCTTCTGAATAACCAAAATATCCACGGTGATGATATTTGGCCAGTAGCATGCTGAGATGAAGGGCTACAAAGTTTGTTCAAATGAATGACCTTCATCCATATTCAAGGTCACAGTGGTCAAATAGGTTAAAAACTTTAAACAACTTCTTCTGAATAACCAAAATGCCCAGGGTGATGATATTTGGCCAGTGTAATGCTGAGATGAAGGGCTACAAAGTTTGTTCAAATGAGTGACCTTCACCCATATTCAGGTCACAGGGGTTAAATATGTTAAAACTTTAAACAACTTCTTCTGAATAACCAAAATGCCCAGGTGGATGATATTTGGCCAGTGTAATGCTGAGATGAAGGGCTACAAAGTTTGTTCAAATGAGTGACCTTCACCCATATTCAGGTCACAGGGGTTAAATATGTTAAAACTTTAAACAACTTCTTCTGAATAACCAAAATGCCCAGGGTGATGAATTTTGGCCAGTAGCATGCTGGGGTAAAGGGCTATCAAGTTTGTTCAAATAAATGACCTTCACCCATAATCAAGGTCACAGGGGTCAAATATGTTTAAAACTTTAAACAACTTCTATTGAATAACCAAAATGTCCAGGCTGAAGATATTTGGCCAGTAGCATGCTGAGATGAAGGGCTATCAAGTTTGTTAAAATGAATGACCTTCACTTATATTCAAGGTCACAAGGAGCAAATATGTTTAAAATATTTAAACAACTTGTTCTAAATAACCAAAAGGCTCAGGATGTTGATGTTTAGTCAGTAGCATGTTGGGATCAAGGACTACTATGTTTGTTAAAGTTAATGACTTTGACTTCTATTCAAGGTCACTGGGGTCAAATTTGTTTAAAATCTTTAAACAACCTCTTCTGAATAACCATGGGTCCCAGGATGTTGATACTTTGCAAGTTGCGTCATGAGATGAATGGCTATAAAATTTGTTCAACATAATACCTTTGTTCGACTTTCAATCACAGGGGTGAAATGTTTTAAAATAAAACCATAACAGGGTCTTTTGAATGAATTTTAATCATAAATACTAATATTTTGCCTGTAGCTTTATTTTAGATCACTTCTTAAGTTTACAAGTGAGATTTATACCAGGTGAGCGATGCAGGCCCATTGGGCCTCTTTTTTCCCCTTTTTTTTCTTTTTTCAACATTTGTTTATTTTAATAACAACCATGTGAATTAAATCGCATATTGTTCAAAGTAGGGACGTTGAGGCAATGTAAAAAATAAGTGTACGGCACCTCTCCGAGATTTTATTCTGATTTTCCCATAGTATGCAGCATTTTCTCAAACTTTTCAATTCATGGTATGCAGTCATTTTATTAACCATCCTCATGCATTTTTTATTATTTGATCAGTCTTAAAAAAAACCACAAGCAACAGACCAAGGGTAATACACATATCAAATTGGAGAATAAGTAAGGTATCTAAATTTGCCGTCATAGTAACCATCAGTTTATGCTTTAATGTTGATCAAGTTAAGGTCAAAACATGTTAATTCTAAAGAATTATATGCGTGTATCTTCATTTCCACATAACTTAAAATCGTTAATGCCTTCATTGTCTGATTGTTATAGTTTCAAAATAGATTACTCATGACAAGCTTTGCATAAGCGCTCGCCAAAAAACGGAATATATGACTGGTACTGGCACATCAAGAAATATTGTGTTGTTCAGGAAAACCCCAGAGCTTACACACATGTTTACATATACATGTAAAACAAACACGTTACTGATAACAGCCTAAAGTCAGTTATCTATATCTATATATCATAGACCTTATTCCTTACGACAGAACAACAGACCAAAATTGATGTCACAGCAATCACCCTGAGAAACACAGGCTGTTTACATATCATTTATGCGCTTCTGATCTAGAACCTGAAAAATCATTTGGAATTAACGGCGAAGAACAAGGTAAGTGGTTACAAATTATGTGTCCTGTGAAACCTTCACGCCACAAATATGATCAACTTTAAATATATTGCAGGCCAAATATATTCCTAAAAATATGGTGTGCTTGCATCGTGATCTACACTTCCTGGTCATATTTTCAAGGGTATTCGTGTAAATCTTTCCTCTTTTCATGTTGGAACCCTATCTACCAATCCAATTTTACCTTTCGTTATAGTTGTTGTGATGTGTGGGTGTATGTGCACATTTAATGCGCTCCGCTTGTATCGATGACGCATTTACCGCGTAATGTTTAGCAAAATGTCCTAAAAATAGATAGTTAGTCATTGTAAGATCTAGTGCGTAGGTCTCAGTAGGTGTTACACGAGGGAGGTAAAATACATACTGATAACAGATATTTTTTTTTATCTAGTTATGAACTTTAGATTTTTTTTATGTTAATGCTTTTCTCGTTCAAATCGAAACAGTTTCATTTTACAGAAGCATTTAAAAAAGGAAAATCTCAATGAATCATCTTCACGAATTACTGAATCGATCTGAATGTAATTACCTACCAACAAACATCATTCAGTTTCTTGTGTTAAGACCTTCATAGTCTAAGTGTAAAAGGCCTTTGAAATTAGGAAAAATACAGTACTTACAAGATTACTTAACATTTCTTGAACAGGTTTAAGCACAGGTTAAATATCTACCACAAACGAAAATCAATAGGTATTTAAATGACGGATATAAAATTATTATACTTTCTCTTCAATTCCGGGAAGGTCAGTTCATATTAATGTTTACGTCATTAGTACGTGTTGCTAATAATAAATCAAATATGATGTCACAAAAACGACCCTAAATAACACTGATTGTTTACAGGTGATATATATTAGCTCCCAATCCAGAACATTAACTTAGTATTAAAACCAACACTAATATATCAGAGCATATCTTCCCCCATACCATTTGGAATGAACGGACAGAGAGGTGGTAAACCAGGTGAGCGTTTAAGATTTTTGTATCCAGTGAATCATTAGAGTCACAGCGACGCTATTGTGATTTCAGCGTGGGTTTTGTTGTGTCTAGAACCACGAGTGTCTAATCAGTGATCACAAGTTGTTGTTACAATTGAACTGTACCTGTGGTCTAATGAACCAAGTGTCATTTCATAATAACTTTGTTGTTTTTATCAGTATTGTAAAATTTGAAAGGTGTTACACCACACTCTTACATATATGAATTGGAAGAATTGTATTTCACTAGGGTTAACACCGTCGTGAAATATTACTCCCTGCAATAAACACTCATATTATTTGAGATGTTCAGTGAACAGATGTGGGTTGTATTGCCTATGCATTATAACTAAATTTGCAAAACCATGTAGTTTATAAGAAGTTATCCGTTAAGTGCTGTTAAAATGTGTTTATGAGCAATGGCCACCTTCCAAAGACGTTGCATTAATTCGCGAAAGATTTGACCTGCTGTAACCCACTTCCTAATCGTAAGAGGCGAATTTTGTGCCGCCTTCAGAATTGGGGTTGGTTTCATACAAAAAATCAAATAACAGAACTGTTGTATGCTACGCATGTGTATCGTTAGAGGCGACTAATGTGGTGCCGCTGCAGAATTGGGTTTTAACTTCAATGTCTTCTAACAAGACGACCTGAAAGAGACCAAAATTGATCTGTTGACACATTGCAACACACGGGATCTTTTTCGTTTCAAATTTTTCCTGCTTTCTTCCTTTTCGATCTACTTTCTCTTTCAAGAGGTATCTCCCTAAGCACCCATATGACACTGGCTGTTGTATCTCCCTAAGCACCCATATGACACTGGCTGTTGTATCTCCCAAAGCACCCATATGACACTGGCTGTTGTATCTCTCTAAGCACCCAATGACACTGGCTGTTGTATCTCCCTAAGCACCCATATGACACTGGCTGTTGTATCTCCCTAAGCACCCATATGACACTGGCTGTTGTATCTCCCTAAGCACCCATATGACACTGGCTGTTGTATCTCCCTAAGCACCCATATGACACTGGCTGTTGCGAGGGCGTTAAATCACACAACAACAAACAGACATTGCATCTGTCAAAAACATTTCTCCGAAGTCTTTTTGTTTGTTCGAATAATTCCTTTCCACTTTAGTTGTTTCAGATGTGAAAGATGGAATTCGAAGAACAACTTTCGCGTGCTCAGGTCTCTTTAAAGGAGGAATTGGCCCTGATATTTCCTGATTTCAGTGATGACATTCTGTATGACACAGTTCTGGACCACAGAAACAAGAATGACTTAGAACGGTGTGTTACACATCTATTGGACCACTGTGACGACTCACGAATACCGGCTGATGTGACAATTACGAAAGTTCTTACATTGGACTCTTCTGAAAGTAAGTATACTAATCGATGTTATGAGATCTCACAATTTAAAACATAAGTCTGTATGATATATCTATAATAAATGGTATATAAACAAAAAATGTAAACATTTCAATGTATTCTTAATGTATTGAAACCTCTTTCCCTCTGCAAGTCCGTGTTCTATCTTCTATTTTAACTCAGAGTGTTATCATCTTTCATACTTGTTATCTATCACCGCCTTAGAGTCTGTAGTTGTGCAGGCCGTTGGTGAAAGATAGAAAGTTACATTGTCAGTCCTCATTTAAAGTCTCTGAATATGGACGAGGACGTGTTTTACTCAACTCAGCGAATCCACCTGAATATTTAACAGCAACGGATGCACTTTGAACTTAGTGTTTCTATAGCAGAGTTCACCAATGTCATAGGAGAAATAGAAATGCACAGCCAGACTGGGATTCGAACCCGGACCCTCTGAACTCTTAACGGACGCTCTATCTTTATATTGAGCTACCTGGTCGCCGGCCATAGACCCAGCCCGGTTCCGCTTCATTCTTCCTTCTTTCTTGTAATTATTCGACCCAAAGACAACATTATTAGCTCACCTGGTCCAAAGGACCAAGGTGAGCTTATGCCATACCGTGGCGTCCGTCGTCCGTCGTCCGTCCGTCAACAATTTCTTTAAACGACTTCTTCTTCTTAACCACTGATTGGAATTTAAATAAATTAGACTGGAAGCATCCCTAGGTGGTTGGGATTCAAAATTGTACAAATGGTGGGACTGACCCCCCAGGGGGCTGAGGGGCGGGGCTAAAATGGGGCAATTTGGCTTTATTGCGTTAAGAGACTTCTTCTCTGGAACTAAGAGATGGATATCACCATATTTGACTGGAAGCATCCCAAGGTGGTGGGGATTCAAAATTGTACAAATGGTTGGGGTGACCCCCAAGGGGGCTGAGGGGAGGGGCCAAAAGGGGGCAGTTTGGCTATATTGCTACAAACGACTTCTTCTGTAGAACTATGCACTGGATATCAATCATATTTAATCAAAATCATTCATGGGAGGCAGGGATTCAAAATTGTACAAATGGTGGGACTGACCCCCCAGGGGGCTGAAGGGCGGGGCCAAAAAGGGTTATTTGGCTATATTGCTTTAAGTGACATCTTCTCTGGAACTAAGAGATGGATATCAACCATATTTGACTTGAAGCATCCCTAGGTGGTGGAGATTCAAAATTATACAAATGGTGGGGCTGATGGCGGGGCCAAAACGGTGCAATTTGGCTATATTGCTATAAACGATTTCTTCTGAAGAACTATGCCATGGATATCGATCATATTTGGTGGGAAGCATTCATGGGAGGCAGGGATTCAAAATTTTACAAACAGTGGGGCTGACCCCCCGGGCTAAGGGTGGGGCCAAGAAAGTTTATTATTTGGAAATGGTTGAGATCCCCACCATATAACCATATATACAATTGCTGAGTATAAAGAGAAGAATGCACATTTGCTTCCAGGATGGCACTAGGGTCTGGCCCCTCCCTTGGAGACAAAGTCCCTGGGCCATAACTTTGAAACGGTTGAGATCCCCACCCCAAAACTATATATACAAATGCTGGGCATAAAGAGACGAATGCAGTCATGATATTAGAATAGACCCTGGGGTCTGACCGAACCCTTAGGGACCTAGTTTCTTAGTCACAGCTTGGAAACATATGAGATCCCCACCCTATAACCATATATACAATTGCTGAGTATAAAGAGATGAATGCACATACGCTTCCAGGATGACCTTTGGGACTACCCCACCCTTGGATACTTAACCCTTGAGTCATAACTTCGAAATGGTTAAGATCCCCACCCCAAAACTATATATACAATTGTTGCATGGCATAAAGAGACGAATGATATCATGATATTTGAATTGACCCCAGGGTCTGCCCCACCCTTGCAGACTTAACCCATGGGTCATAACTTTGAAAGGGTTGAGATCCCCACCCCAAAACTATATATACAAATGCTGGGCAAGAAGAGACAAATGCAGTCATGATATTAGAATTGATCCTGGGGTCTGGCCAAAACCCTAGGGACCTGGTTTCTGAGTCACAGCTTGGAAACAGTTGAGATCCCCACCCCATAACCATATGTAATATTGCTGGGCATGAAAAATCTAATACAGATATGCTGAAAGGATTGACCTTGGGGTTTGGCATATTCCCTTGGATCTCATTTGGAGAATATTTTGCCATGATTGCTTTGGTATCCAGGTGAGCGATATAGGCCCTCTGGGCCTCTTGTTTACAACCCAGATTCGGGTATGCCCTTGCCCAGCATTCACCCAGTACTTGAAACAAGGTTGGACAAGCTCGCAAATTTTGTAATAGAAGAAAGAGAAATGCATGGCCAGACTGGGATTCGAATCAAGTACCCTCCGAACTCTAGACAGGCGCTCAACCATTTGAGCTACCGGGTCCAGTTCCAATTCACCAGTATAGAAAACTGAAACTTGTCAGTTTTGCTTAACTTGAATTGATATTGACGTTTACATGAAAAACGTACGTTTGTTTGTATCAAAACTTTACACACAACCAATATAGTGTCAAATGTGCTTTAACATTTCAGGACCAAGCTATCAACAAACTTGTACCTATATAAGTCTTAACACTAAAAATCATTCTTATAGTTTACAAAACAGTAATGAAAATCTTTCCTCATTACCAAAAGATTGCACTGAAGACATGCTGCACCAGGCTTGTTCCATTGATACAACGTTTGTACAAAGTACAGGCTGTGAACAGCGCCCAGCTCTCTTCTGTGATGGTAAGTAGCGCTTGAAGTATATGTAGGGTAACTTACATTGGCTGCCAGCCAATTTCTTGAACGATTTTTGAGAAACCAAAACCATGGTCTTGTTTTTTTCTTTAGCTTTCATGATTTAACCCTTTCACCACTGTAGACCATAATGGAATTATCCAGATCAATGCATGGTAGAGTTTACTAAAGTAACATAGGGGAGAAAGTGTTAATCTTGATTTTCTAGCCGTTTATATTGACCGTTGTCGTTGAAACGGTAAAATGACTTTTGCTTTTTTATTATGGGATATATTGTCATGATTAAAGCATTGCATGTATATATACATCAATTAATTATACCATGACACATTCTGAAAATAGGACTGTTAGCTAAAGGCTAACCTAAGGCCCGGTTCCACCATGTGAATGGTCGAAAGGGAAATACAATGTAATATAGTAGTGTACTCCGGTATACCGCCCCCGGTTCTATTGTCAACCCTGCATGTATATTTCCAAATCGACCAAATGACCGGTTATTCGATCGGAAGATTGTTGGAGTAAGCAGTAACGAAAATTTGAATGGTTTGACATCGCTAATATTAAGGAATGACAATGGTTGCGAAAATTTATAAAAGTATGTTTAAAATATTATCAGCTGTCGTACACATGCAGTAAGTTTCAAACAGAGATTGTAAATTATGTCCTCCAACCTATCCTAACAATTACAAATGAAGCATTGCAATAAATCGTGTTTAGTCGGCCCAGCAGAACTCAACTTACTTGGATTAATGTACTATCAATCAGAGGCCAACTTATTAAACTTTTAATTCCGAAACATTGAAGTTTGTTGTTTACCACAAAGGGCATCAACTAAGTTGGTCAAAGAGAACTTGAATTATCATCTTATTTTTCTCAGCCAATCAGAAGCTAAAGTCGGTAGAAATCAAGCTATAACCGTTATTGTTCCAGGAAGTCATTGGCCGCGGTGGCAATTTGATTGGTTTGGTTGTGCTGTGTGTGACGTCATATCAACGGATAAATGTCATTAATGGACATGCCTCTTTGTGTGTTATGTATGCATACATGTGTGTATGTGTGCTGGAGGTAGGGTATTTTGGTGTATTTGCCAATTTGGGATAGCTCGAATCTGATTCCGACTTAATAATGCTACCTCAATGAAATACCATGGCGAAGGCACAAAGCACAGTATTCCATCCGGTCACATTATACTTACAACGGGTGAACCAGTTTGTGCAATTACCCTAAATACCGCATGTTAAGCAGGGAATAACATATTTTAGGACTGCAAGGGGACATAACCCTTAACTTACCCACATTGGGCGGACGTTCAACATTAATGTCAAACTCAGTGTCTTGCCGGGCGAGACAGAGAGAAAATATAAAAATACCAAATGTTGCAGTTTTGGGGTATGCAGATCTATTTAGGTTTCTTCAACGTCCCATTAGAAGAGCACCCCGATTCAGCAGGGGTCCCACACAAGTCGTCGTTTACGACATGCAGTGGGATACAGCAGGACTATTTCCCCCCAAACCTTAAAGTCAAACGTGGGGCGTCAAGAGTTGGGTGGCAACTTGAATTATCAAAATTAAAAGTAGGGCGTTCCGCATTAATTATAATCCCTATGTATCACTCCCTCGAAGTATCAATAAGGTTTGTCCAAATGAACTACTTGGCATATTAATGATAGAAATTAACAACTCATTATTAAGTTACATTTTGTTCACACTTACGATGGTATGCAACACAATTGTGTTCAAACAGATCCCACGATGCGTTGTAGCGACTGTGTTCCATACACTTATATTTTTTTGTTTAATGCATATATGTACATAACAAGAAAGAAATTTGTATTTCATTAACCCTGTGGTTTCGTTCGGTTCATGATGAACATTAAACTGTTTTCTCAAATGGTAGAGCAGCATTTTTTGCGATAACGATGTTGTTTTACATGGTAACCGGTTTAGGCATGTGACATGAGTAAATCGAAAACCATTCGTGACTTCTGTCATAATTTGAATTTGTCATCTCGCCATGATTGGTTCCCGATTACTCCAACAGCACAATGGAAAGGCCAAAACAGTTTTTGATCGAAAAACGTTCACATGCTAGAGTTCTTGCTGTGCAATTTTTATGTATTCATCTATATATCGGTGATTTCCTTTTGAAATATTATGGTATCACATACTCTGTTTATTTCGTTTTTCACAGAGTCCGTCAGAGGCGACAACAGACAGGCTATACGAATTGTATTGGTCGGTAAAACCGGATCTGGGAAAAGCTCCACAGGTAATACCATTCTAGATGAAGAGGCTTTCAAGACTTGTTTTTCAGCTTCATCAGTGACGGAGACATGTCAAGAAGTTAAAGCTATCAGGTTTGGACAAGAGATCCATTTAATCGATACTCCGGGAGTGTTTGATACAAGTAAACCAAACACGCAAGTCCTGCAGGAAGTTGCTAGATGTATCAGCATGTCATTACCGGGACCTCACGTATTTCTTCTCGTTCTTCAGGCAGGGAGGTTTACTCCCGAGGAGAACGACACTGTCAAACATTTTGCTGACCTGTTTGGAGAAGATGTCTTCAAGCATATGATCTTAGTGTTTACAGGAAGAGATGCGTTAGAAAAAAGACAACAATCGTTTGAAGAGTTCCTGCAGACAATACCACCTACACTTGATGAAATTAGAGAAAAATGCAACAGACGTTGTATTGCTATCGACAATAGCCCAGACAATAAGTCTCGCGCCATCGATGCCGAGAATCTGATGCAACAAATCAATGACCTTGTTGAGAAACGTAACGGCAAATACTACACCAATGAGATGTATAAGGCAGCCGAGAAAAAATGTCTTGAAAGGGAAAAAGATATAAGGCGTCAGAAAGACCAGGAAAAGAAGAAAGAAAAAGAAGAATTGATAAAACATCTGAAGCAGGATTTTCAAAAGGACCTCGACCGTTTGAAAGCTGAACAGTATTCACTGCAGCGAAAAATACGCGACTGCACTACAGAGAAGGAAATGTTGGAAGAAAAGTTACATGACAGCGATTTGAAAGATGAAGAATTAGCATTGATGAAGGAAACATTAAGAACCGTCGAAACAGAAGCTCAGCAATACAAAGAACAAGCTGAAGATGGCACACATCAGCAGCAGGTGTGCTTACAAAACCGTGACCGACGTATTATACAACAGTCAAAGGACTTGGATCGTAAATACGACAACGATATGAACTTAAGTATCAGAATGTCAAAATCAGCCGCGGTATTTACAATGATCAAAGGTGCTGCGCAACTGGGATGGGGCATTTGGAATTTTGTCAGTGGCTTGATTAGAACTGACAATAAGTAGATCGCCTACAATCGTCTTTGAAACGAATACATAATTTTATCTTTAACTTGGTTTTTCCAGCGGTCATTGGACCCCCTAAAAAATATTATAAACAATTACAATTTGTATATTGCGAAGGTCGAGACAGCTTAAGCTTTGCCTGAAGAAGATCGTGATGTTATACAGTAATTAACTCGTTTTAAATATAGTTTCCGCTTTCGTTGTTGTTAACAATGTATTTGTTTTGTCTAATGTATCGACTGCATGATTTATAAAAGGCGACTAATGTGAAACCCCTCCTTATTTGGGAGTTTTCCTTTTAGCCCTCTAATTTTTTTCTTTAGCATCACTGCGACAAGGAGATTCAGTTTAATACAAATAAGTCTATTACCGTTCCCAGGTTGAGCACTGGAACCTGATAATTAAAATGGGAATGGGTGTTTAATATATGCAAATCTATTTCATAAGTACTGTATCAAAAATGAAAGGTCAGAAAAACAAGAAAAAACATTGCAGACACACCCAGTGTTACAATGGGGACTCCAGATTAATTTAGGTTTCCTCAATGTCTCAACAACAAACAAAAACCAGCAGGGCCTCCACATTGGTCGTCTCCACCGATAACACGTAGTATGATACAACATGTTTTTCCTTCTATGAACTTGTAGGTGTAGCATAACTTGGCCTTCATGATTGACTGTTGTACCCATGAAGGATGTCGCCCACCTGTTTGAACGTTGTTTCTGTTCATTAAGGAAAAATCAAAAGCACATTATATGTTTTTTTTTATGTTTTTGAATATTTGTTATAATTTATCTTTTCCTTATACCGGAGTCAATATATATTGATCAAAATTCGATATAAAGCTCTTTATGTACACAACAATGAACTAGTTTAGATATGAATTGGCTCTATCTTCTCTAAGCAGTAATACAGACATCAATTGAAAAGTTTGTGGAAGCCAGACTATACCGACTGCATTTTCGTGCCTTCAGTCACTGATAGAACATGTTATTTCGATTAGTCTTCCGTCTCTTAATATTTCAGATAAGCACAAATTGTATATAAAAGAGATGAAAGAATGAAGTAAAATGTATTAAAATTATTACATTTTGTAATCAATTAGCCATAGACAAGACGGAGTAAATAATATCGTAGTATTAACATTTAAGCAATAGTAATAATGCTTGCTTTATATAATATTTGTCCTTTATGACGTTTATGATTATGCAAATGATAGCTGTTGATGTTTTTTTAATGTACGCATCTGAAGTCGATTTTGTATATATTTATTTATGTATTTCCTTATATCTACATGTAGGCTAACCTCACGCACAGGTGTATAATTATTTTGTGTATTATTTACATATGTCTTTGATCCACACTATATGTGTTAATGCACATTTACTATCAAAAGTCATGTTCTGTCCAATAATTTGATATGACGATGTCGTGAATGGTTTTCATTGACTGATTTAGAAACTATAATGTGATGGTTTTACGAATCGTTTACATGGTAAAATTTGGAAAAAGAAAAATGAAGAATCTAAACCACGGCAAAAGACACTAAAAGTCTACTTGCGCGATATGTTTTCAAGATTTGGTTGAGATGTTCAAATTTTGAATGGTTTTAATTTGTCATCTAGTACCGACAAAGTTGATAAATGCAACTCGTCTCCATGGTTACTTGAAAACTAACAGTTATCTAAGACGACTAGCTGGAGATGTGTCCAATGTTTCCTGAATATATTTTGTATAAATTGTTTATGTAGCTCTCCGGAAACTGTAATTTGAGGCACAGATACAGTTATAGGGGATGATATTCACGAGTTTTTCTCTCTTAACACTGAATATCAATATATAACAAATCACTATAGAATTCCATGGTCATGGCATGCAGCAAAGTTCGCCGAGGTCATAGTACGCCATGTTGATAGTAAACACGGTCATAGATCGCTATGGGGATGTCATATAACGCCATGTTTGAAGGGCAGCATGGTGCGTGCAACCATATGAGGTCATGGTCGTAGAACGTCACCGTCAAAGTCACCGACACATAAGTACTGTACGGTTATATTACACAATGGTAACAGTACACAATGTTTATCATTGTCGTACTACGCGATGTCTGTAGTACACGACGATCATTACTTGCTCAATAACTCATGTAATATTAATAATAAGTGTAACAGAACATATAGAGTTATTAGTACTTGATTATCTATAGAAGATCATTTGTTATTGTGTTCATTGATATAGATAGTGATAGTTTTGCACGTTGAATATAATTATCATAATGTGTTCAGAAATTCTAAATGTGTTCTTGTTAATAAAAGTTTAATTGTTGTTCACTTGTGCGCTTTTTATTTCGGTCTATTGGGAAACGTTGGAACTCAACATGTGTTAGATGTATTTTCGAAAACCAGGTGTCTACTGTGCAAGATTCTTTTATTCTTGGGAAAATATGACGATAACAAACCGTCAATATGACTGCGCTTGCTTTGGCCCGTGGCAACATCCTGACCTAAATAAAACAAAACTCCCAATGTTTATAGCTAGCTGCTAAAATTAAATTGTCAATCTTTCTTCTGTGAAACTGTTGAACACATTTTCCGAGATAATTTTTCAGAAATATTTATCTCGTTTGTGGGTAATTCTGCTTTTTGTTGTGTTAATACTCGGATGTATTATCAACTTGCTACTTATTGATGCAAAACAGAATAAGGATAATTAACCAATCATTATCCTAGAAATTATCATGTGATTGACTTCTAGCTTATATACACGCCCAGGCGATAACATTGCTTAGAAGATACGTGCGTTGTGTGTCAAAAACGCTTTTATATGGAAACAACCATGTTTTATAGAACATTTGTTTGATACTTTGTGTCGCATGAGTTAAATCTTTGTACATTTATTAACGTAATCCAATGTCTACAGCTATCTGTAACATTGTTTATAATCTACAATCAAAAACCAGTTTTTGAATTTTGACGACATTTTATCACATTTTCCATGATAAATATCACGTAAGGAGGTCACTCGACTCGATTATTACTCCGATGTGACATCGACTTTCCATTTATTATTGATGCAAAGGGTAGTTTCCAAAAAATAAGATAAATTAACGAGATAAATATCTTGGCAAAATTATATAAAATACTGTTTCATTTCATTGTTAGAGAAATACCTAAGCTCAAAAATGATCATCCTAGACTGAAATATGATCTATTAAAATTACTTTCTAGTCACGGCAGACAGTTTGTAAAGCAAGCGACTGATTAAACATATACTGTATAACATGAAATGCTCGTGGGAGGTTTCTTTCGAGAGTTGAAGTCATTTAGATCATTTCGAGGTACAAATTTTCGTGGATTCTCCATAAAAGCAAAGAGTAGTCAAGTATACCAGTTAAATTCATTGTATTTATTTTTGTGGTTCCGTAGCCTCCACGAAAACCACAGATGTTTATAAACAACGAGCATTGCATGTTATAGAGTACACGGATTAACATTGTAAAGCAAGCTACTGATAACACATATACATGATTACCATTGTAAAGCAAACAACTGATTACACATATACACATGTTTTATTGTAAAGCAAGCTACTGATTACACATATACACAGATTAATTGAAAACCAAACAACTGATTACACATATACACAGATTAATTGTAAACCAAACAACTGATTACACATATACATGATTAACATTGAAAAGCAAACAACTGATTACACATATATATATAGATTAACATTGTAAAGCAAACAACTGATTACACAGATTAGCGTTTTAAAGCAAACAACTGTTTACACATATACACAGATTAGCATTGTAAAGAAAACAACTGATTACACAGATTAACATTGTAAAGCAAACAACTGATTACACATATATATATAGATTAACATTGAAAAGCAAGCAACTGATTACACATATGCACAGATTGTAAAGTAAGCAACTGATTACACATATACACAGATTAACATTGTAAAGTAAGCAGCTGATCACATATATACACAGATTAGCATTGTAAAGCAAACAATCGATTACACATATACACAGATTAGCCTTGTAAAGCAAGCAAATGATAAGACATATACACATGTTTTATTGTAAAGCAAGCTTCTGATTACACATATACACTGATTAATTGTAAACCAAACAACTGATAACACATATATATAGATTAACATTGAAAAGTAAGCAACTGATTACACATATACACAGATTAACATTGTAAAGTAAGCAGCTGATTACAAATAAACACAGATTAGCATTGTAAAGCAAACAATCGATTAAACATATAAATATATTAGCATTGTAAAGCAAACAACTGATTACACAGATTAAAATTGTAAAGAAAACAACTGATTACACATATACACAGATTAACATTGTAAAGCAAACAACTGATTACACATATACACAGATTAGCATTGTAAAGCAAGCAAATGATTACACATACACATATGTTAGCCTTGTAAAGCAAACAACTGATTACACATATACATAGATAAGCGTTGTAAAGCAAACAACTGTTTACACATATACACAGATTAGCATTGTAAAGCAAGCAAATGATTACACATGCACATATGTTAGCCTTGTAAAGCAAACAACTGATTACACATATACATAGATTAACATTGTAAAGCAAACAATTGATTACACAGATTAGCGTTGTAAAGCAAATACCTGTTTACAAATATACACAGATTAGCATTGTAAAGAAACCAACTGATTTCACAGATTTACATTGTAAAGCAAACAACTGATTTCACATATACACAGATTAGCATTGTAATGTAAGCAACTGATTGCACATAAACATAGATTAATTGTAAACCAAACAACTGATTACACATATACATGATTAACATTGTAAAGCAAACAATTGATTACACAGATTAGCGTTGTAAAGCAAACAACCGTTTACAAATATACACAGATAAGCATTGTAAAGAAAACAACTGATTACACAGATTAACATTGTAAGCAAACAACTGATTACACATATACACAGATTAGCATTGTAATGTAAGCAACTGATTGCACATAAACATAGATTAATTGTAAACCAAACAACTGATTACACATATACATGATTAACATTGTAAAGCATACAAATGATTACACATATACACATGTTTTATTGTAAATCAAGCTACTGATTACACATATACACAGATTAATTGTAAACCAAACAACTGATTACACATATACAGAGATTAGCATTGAAAAGCAAGCAACTGATTACAAATATACACAGATTAATTGTAAAGCAAACAATCGTTTACACATATACACAGATTAGCATTGTAAAGCAAACAACTAATTACAGATAAACATAGATTAGCATTGTAAATCAAACAATTGATTACACAGATTAGCGTTGTAAAGCAGACAACTGTTTACACATATACACAGATTAGCATTGTAAAGCAAACGACTGATTTCACATATACACAGATAAGCATTGTAATGTAAGCAACTGATTACACATAAACATAGATTAATTGTAAACCAAACATCTGATTACACATATACATGATTAACATTGTAAAGCAAACAACTGATTACACATATACACATGTTCTATTGTAAAGCAAGCTACTGATTACACATATACACAGATTAATTGTAAACCCAACAACTGATTACACATATACACAGATTAACATTGTAAAGTAAGCAGCTGATTACAAATATACACAGATTAGCATTGTAAAGCTAACAATCGATTACACATATACACAGATTAGCCTTGTAAAGCAAGCAAATGATAACACATATACACATGTTTTATTGTAAAACAAACTACTGATTACACATATACACAGATTAATTGTAAACCAAAAAATTGATAACACATATGCACAGATTAGCATTGTAAAGTAAGCAGCGGATTACAAATATACACAGATTAGCATTGTAAAGCAATCAACTGATTACACATTTACACAGATTAACATTGTAAAGTAAGCAGCGGATTACAAATATACACAGATTAGCATTGTAAAGCAAACAATCGATTAAAAATATACATATATTAGCATTGTAAAGCAAACAACTGATTACACATATTAACATTGTAAAGCAAACAACTGATTACACAGATTAGCGTTTTAAAGCAAACAACTGTTTACACATATACACAGATTAGCATTGTAAAGCAAACAACTGATTACACATATTCATAGATTAGCCTTGTAAAGCAAACAACTGATTACACAGATTAGCGTTGTAAAGCAAACAACTGATTACACATAAACATAGATTAACATTGTAAAGCAAACAATTGATTACACAGATTAGCGATATACATATGTTAGCCTTGTAAAGCAAACAACTGATTACACAGATTAACATTGTAAAGCAAACAACTGATTCCACTTATACACAGATTAGCATTGTAAAGCAATCAACTGATTACACATATACATCGATTAGCATTGTAAAGCAATCAACTATTTACACATATACACAGATTAGCATTGTAAAGAAAACAACTGATTACACAGATTAACATTGTAAAGCAAACAACTGATTACACTTATACACAGATTAGCATTGTAAAGCAATCAACTGATTACACATATACATAGATTAACATTGTAAAGCAAACAATTGATTACACAGATTAGCGTTGTAATGCAAACAACTGTTTACACATATACACAGATTAGCATTGTAAAGAAAACAACTGATTACACAGATTAACATTGTAAAGCAAACAACTGATTACACTTATACACAGATTAGCATTGTAAAGCAATCAACTGATTACACATATACATCGATTGGCATTGTAAAGCAACCAAATGATTACACATATACATAGATTGGCATTGTAAAGCAAAAAACTGATTACACATATACATAGATTGGCATTGTAAAGCAAAAAACTGATTACACATATACATAGATTGGCATTGTAAAGCAACCAGATGATTACACATACACTAAGATTAGCATTGCAAAGCAAGCAACTGATTACACATATACATAGATTGGCATTGTAAAGGAAGCAACTGATTACACATATACATAGATTGGCATTGTAAAGCAAAAAACTGATTACACAGATTAACATTGTAAAGCAAACAACTGATTTCACAGATTAACATTGTAAAGCAAAAAACTAATCAGGGTGTGTGGAAAATTGTAAGGTCATAACATCAAAAATGACAAAGATATGCCACTTTGAAAAATGTTCATTTTCCCGCCAAAACTCAAAATTATTACAAAAGATGCACTTTGAACTCTTTTCCTCCGTACTATAATGACGTACAGAGTTGATATTCAGCACATACATAGC